CTCCACGCACCCTTTCCTCGTCTGCAGCGCAGAGGGGGCGGGTGCCCCGGCGGCCTGCACCAGCGGGGAGCGACAGGCAGGCCTGGCCCCTCCAGGTCAGCTTGCTCGCCCTTCCACCTGTGCTTCTCAAAACTGTGTCCTCGAGGGGAGCACAGGGCGAGGAGAGCTTCCCTGCGAGTGCCTGCTCTCCAGTCTCCTCACTCAGACAGGTAAACTGAGGCGCCCCAAGGGAAGCTGTGGGGCTGGGGTCTGCATGGAGCAGGCCTCCTGCTTCTAGGGTGTTTGTGTGCCTAGTTGCAGGGCTCCTGAACACCCCTACAGCCCCCACAGGCAGATGCCAGCACCCGCCTGCCACTCAGCCCGGCGGCGGCACGGACCACAAAGGAGACCAGTCAGGTGGCCACACCTCTGCTGGGCCAGGTCAAGCTCTCTCCCACCAGTGACACTGGAGCTCCGTGTCGTCACCTTGGGCATCACCAGCTCTGGCCTGAAGCTGGTGTGAGCCACTGCCCCCACAAGATGGTCAGAGGCCACCAGTCCAGGCCGCTATGCAAGGTGAGTGGCAGACGCAGGCAAGCCCGCCGGCCCCTGACCACAGGGCAGGCTCTCCCCACACGCACCCCGCCCCACCCTGCAGCTTCTCACAGACGCCTCTCCGTGACGGGCCCTGCCCATGGTGGTACCCCAGGTGAAACCAGAGCACACACTCAACCATGCCATACATCTGAGCCAATGAACCATACTGCACTGCGGAGCTCTGAGCACAGGGCCTGGTGCCGGAAACTTCTGGAACATCTGCTCCCTCTCCTCTTAGCAATTTTTTTTCTCACCACCATCATGTCTGGAACCACAACCCACCAGCAATGCTCACCCACTCAGAGTAAGCCCCCAGCCACCACCCAGAAACGGCACAGGGTGGGGAGGTGCCCGCCAGCCCTCGCAGGGCGTGAGGCTGTCTGGGCCCAAGTCCTTCAGCGATTTGGCCCTGAATAAGGCTTAGCTGATGCCCACACAGCAGGGCCTCCAAGGACGCCCAGAGGGCACACAGCCGGTCTCAGGAGCGCTTATTTCCAAAGGGAAGGAGCCAAGAGTGCCCGATGTGCCCACGATGGTGGCCCCAGCCTGTCCATCTTCACAGACCACATCCCTCTCGCCAGCACCACCCAGGCAGAGGCACCCACGGCCTGCCTTGGCGGGCGGGAGCGGTCCTCACAGGCCTCCAGGTGGCTGGTACCAACCTTTCTCACCAACCAAACCAGAACCGTGGTGTGACTTCACTTGGAAAAAACAAGCACAGCGTTGGCATCCAACTGACTTCAAAACACAACTCTCGCAACAAAACTCAGCTCTTAGGAGGTTAATAAAAATACCAACACAGGGTAACCACCTGCCAACTGACTGCAGCCCCTCTCAGGTCCTGCTACACGTGCGCATACCATCCCCTCGGAACATCCCCCTCCCATCAGCTGCTGAGGGCTCCTGGGAAAGCAGGAGGGACTGGGAGGGGGGACCTCTCCACCTTGGCTGGGCTGCTGGTGAGGTGGGTGGGCGCGGCCTGTCTACGAAAGGGGGGGGATGCACCGGCAGGAGGCACCTGAGCTCAGGGCCAGCGCGGTGCAGGAGCCATGGCCACAGGAGAGGCAGCTGGCCATCCTCTGAGGCCAGTGAGTGGACCGGCGCAGTCAGCACGGCCACATGCAGCACGTTCCCAGGCGCATCACCCACGTCCGAGGCACAGACTGGTGAACAGGACACAGACGTCTGCCTGGCACAGGAGGTGGGGAACACGGTGCCTCTGTGGCCGCATCGAGGGGACACCAGCAGGTCACACATTATCAGGTCTTGTGGTCCCCACATTCGCAAGCTACTCCCTGGCCTGGGTCCAGGCCATCCCCACCCCCGGGAGCCAGCCACCTCCAGGCAGCACAGAGGTGCAGGATGGCTCCATGACAGAACCGGGGAGACCCAGGGCCTGAGGAGTGGGGTTCGGCCTCGGGGTTACCCTGAAGGGGCGCTCCGTGCCTGGGTGAAGGTCAAGGACTGACACACCCCATGAGGCAGAAGGACCCCAGGCTGGGCGTGAACCCGGACACACGTGGGAGACAAAGGCTCCGGGGGGACCGCCCAGGAGGCTGTGCCCAGCCCTGCAACAGCAGCTCAGACCTCCGTGGGGGGAGGTGCCAGGGGCCTGGGACTCTGAGAGAAGGGACGCCTGGTCCCTGAGGAAGACCTGGGAGAGGCAGGTGGGCCGGGCGCCTCCAGCTAGGCTCCCGCCTCGGCCCGTGTGGGCTGGCTTCGTTTTCTCTCCAGGTCTCCCACTGGCACAGAAGTGCAGTGACCCGAGCAGCTGGGCCGTGCGCAGACTCCGCTCCGGCCGCGGGGCAGGACCAGCGCCGACTCGAGCACCGTCTGTAAGAGGGGTCCCCGTGGACCCCTCGTGGGCCGGCGGTGGCCCAAGGACGTGGAGACGTGGGAACCTGAGCCAGAGCGAGGGCAGCGATTCTGGGCACACTTGCACTTCCTACCTCAATATCGTAATGTGGTCTGATGCCAGGATAAACGTCCACTTGGAAGAAAAGAGACAGGAATAATACTTTAAAATGGCTTCCCCAAAACATCAGTGTCATCTCTGGACATGTGCAGAGTTCAGGTGACGCCTCACTGCTCCCTCGGCAAAGCACTTCCAACACTGAGGACGCCAAGGGGATCTGATGTCCTCCAAGTCACACTGTGAGATCCAGAAACGCGCACGGCCTTCCCCGGGCAGGAGACCCAGAAAAAGCAGGCAGGTGACGCTGTCTCAGTTCTGGGTGCCCCAGAGGCGCCCAGAGGTGCCAACGCCCCCTGCATGCAGAGGGTGAGAAATTACACAGACTCTGAGGGTGGGACTTGGGTGTCGGAAGCTGCCGGCCAGGCGTTCTGAGACAGGGAAGGCCCTGAGGGCTAGGAAGCCTCCTGTGTGAAGCTCCCTGCACTGACGGCGACGCTCCAGGTGACCCACCCTCCACTGGGAGGGAGCCTGACATCAGGCGTCCACACTGGAGCCCTCTCTAGGCAAAAAGCCAGAACACCACCCACTGTGCTCCCCATGTGCAGTGGTCCTCCAGGCCTAACCTGACACCCTACCCTCCACACTCATCTCCAAGCCTAAGTGGACGGCCACCAGGCTGGGCCTCCTCCCAGGATGATGCTATCTCCTCTCCACCTATGTCCTCACCGCTGGCCTGAGTGGGGGTCCTCAATAAAGTGGGGGAAACAGCAGCCTCTGGTGGGTGAGGAGCAGGTTCCCAGCTGCCCTCAGCTGGTCCTCACCCCCCAGCAGCAGGCAGACGCCCAGCGCTGCACTGGCTGAGGCAAACATGAGCAGGACCCTCACTGGGGAGATACAGGACGGTCTCCCTGCTGGCTCGGGACTCCCGGGAACGCCGGGCCAAGGCACATGGAGGCCTTCTCCAGCCTTCCCACCACCAAGTCCAGGCCCTGGACAAGGCAGGCTCCACCTCTGAGCTCTGCTCAGGCCCTTGCCCTAAAGGAAATGAGGGGCGACAGCCTCCTCCTCCCGCCGGGGTCACAGCACCCACAATGCCGCGGCCAAATCCCCTGTGCTCCACGGCTGAGGTCTCACCAGGCCTGCCGCCTCCTGCCTGGGCATGACCCGGGAGCACCGGGGTGCGCACTGCCATGCCGGAGGCCGGATCACTGGGCGGTGGGACTGCACAGCTACTCTCTAGAACCAGGAAGCCTCCTCCTCCCTCCCCCACCCCTCGTCCCTGATCTTCCCTCTCAGATCTTCGCTCCTCTGCATTCTCGTGAGCAGTGATGCCCACTCACTCCCGTGCCATCTCAGGCCCCGGCCACCTCAGCAGGGCCATGAAGGGGAGGGGCAGCTCTTTCGTCCAGGGACTCCCTGGGACACGCCTGCATTTCCACAGCAGGACCAAGGGCTTCACTCGGGAGGGCGACCTCTGGGTCCTTTGTCTCAGGAAAAAGGCTGAGGACAAGTCAGCACCACCAGCCTAGTCCAGCGTGCCCGTGCTCTCTCTCCTTCTCTCTCAAACACACACACACACACACACACACACACACACACACATCTAGCCAGAGCCTGGAGGACAGAGCAACCAAATCCCTTTTCTGAGCCGAAAGGCAGGCAGCCTGCAGTGTGGCAGTGGCCTGCGTCAAACCTGGAAGGCCCGGCTAGCTTTACGGGCGCTGGGGTCAGCTTACACCACCGAGGCCGGCCTCATGCTGGACAGCTGCCCCCACAAGACAGAGGGCCAGTAAACACCCACTGTTACAGGCATGGCCCAGGCTGCCACGGCGCCCAGGGCAGCTCGGGTTACGGTTTATATAATCTTCCAGGGCTGGGACTGACACAGCCATCGCAAGGGCAAGGTGATGAAAAATGCATGCCCAGAGCCTTTGCAAAAAAAAAAAAAAAAAAAGCCACCCATCTGCCTTCAGCATGACTGAGTTTTAAGACCTCACGCACCCACTTTGTGAACAAATGGGCTTTGGGAGCTCCGAGAAGCACTCACAGCACTTCCAGGCCTCGTCCAGCAGCCCAGGACCACCAGCCCACCCTCAACAGGCCTGGGTCCGGAGCAGCCCCTTAGGGACCCCAGGCCAGGGCACCTACACCTGGCAAGACTGGAAGGTGCTCATTAAAGCGCAGCTCAGAGTTCCCAAGCCCAGGACTGCCCGGCAGCCCCCACACTTCTGCAAGGACACAGGATCCACACCGCCTGGGTCAGTACAGCCCTGAGTTCCGAGTAGGGAGGGGCCGTGAGAGACACACCCTCCAAGTGCTCACTCTCGTGTGGGCCACGTTGTGCCAGACTCGGAGGCCACACACGGGGAGATCCCACCTCCACCCCCAATCGGTACCACATGGAGCCACCCTCACCCCGCCCCACACGCCGGTCACACACAAAGGTGAGCGCTGCTTCAGGCCAGGTAGGCCAGGCACGGAAGGAGGACATGCAGGGCCCACCACGCACCTGCAGCTCGCACCAGGCCACCTCCACCCAGGTCTCCGTGTCCAGCCCCTTGTACACCGTCTTGAAGGAGCCGCGGCCCAGCTCGATGTCGAACTTGAGGAAGCGGCCGTCCAGGGAGGTGGCCACGGCCTTGAGGTCATCCTCATCGTCCTCCTCCTCCTCGGGCTCATCCCGGCGGACAGGCCCGGGCTCCGGCCTGGCCTCAGGCGCCCCTGCGTCCTCCTTCCTCACCGCTACCGCCTCCTCTCGAGGCCCGTCCGGGGCGGGCGCCGACACCGCATCCAGGCCAGGATCCTGCGCACCCGCGGGCTCGGAGCCAGGGGCGCTGGGGGCGCAGGGCGGCGCGGCGGGCGCGGCGGGCGCGGGGGCGG